AGGGCACTGGCCCAGCAGCATCCCTTTTCCCTCCTGGCCTGCTCCACATCCTTCCCCTCCCCGGGTGGGGCTTCACAGCCAGGCAATCCCAGCACGTGCAATCCAAGGCCCAGGGCTTGGCTTTGAACAATTCCCCAGAGGGAAGCGAGGGCATTTGCATCTTCCCCGCGCATGTTTTCACATGCAAATCAGCCACCGCACAGTCCTCCCTTTCTTCCCAGGTCTGCCAGGGCTCTGTCCCCTCCAGCCATTTGGGGGCCACTTTTAGGGGCAGCCCTGCCTGGGATCTGAACAGCCTTTGTGTCCTGGGGGATGGCAGGTTCAAACTCCAGCATGGACAGACAGGCTCATCATCCCCTTGGGGAAGACAAACGCTTGTGCCTTTGCCCCTTGCGAGTCTTTTGGGTGACACTCAATGACCAGAAGAGCCGTTTGCACTGGGGAGACACCAGAGCAGTCCAGCTCCCATCATTCCCATCATCCCCATCTGATCCCCATTCCCATCTGATAACACTGCACATCTGCACCAACAGCCTTTCTCCCCTTCCTCCTCCTCCTGGCTGAGGCTGCAGGTGTCCAGAGGATGCTCATCCCCAGCAGGGTGCAAGAGGCAGAAAGCCACCACATCTGCCAGGAGAGAAGAGGGAGGGACAAGGGACAGCCGGCCAATTTACCACTCACACACAGCTGCTGTTCCCCTACCACTGGCAAGCAAAACATTCTGTTTGAGCTAATCCACGTTGCCCCCCTGCCCAGCTTCCCAAAAGAAAAGTGTTCAGTGCATTAAGGGCCCCGTGTGGTCACCAGGCAGTTCAAAGCTGGGGCTGTTAATGGGTTTATTTCTGATGTGGTGGCTGGTGCCAAAAACGGGGCCAGCAGGCAGGAGGGGTTGGGTGCAGCTGGCTGAGAGCAGCGGGGCAGGATGGTGGGTTCACCCTCTTGTTTCTGAAGCCCAGAGCTGGCAGGGCACAGCAGCAGGACCCTCACAACACTGCCCTGCATCCCTCACCTCACACTGAGGGGGAGGGGAGTCCAGGGCACCTCACTCTGCACCCTGTTCCTCGGGAAAAGGGACAACACCAGCAGCAGACACAGCTTCATTTTGCTTCACCTCCCCATTTCTGCCTCCCAGCTGCCACACAGCAGCCTGAAACACCCGAAACCAGAGCTACTTTGGGAGCTGACAGACTGACTGACTGACTGACAGCTGCCAGTCATCGCCGGGTGGGAGCCCCCCCAGCTCCTGCTGTTGCCAGGCTGATCCCCCCACCTGGCTCCCTTCTCGCTAATCCTGTTTGGCAGGGAGCTAATTGGGATTTATCTGACAGCACCCAGTGCCTGGAGAGAGCCATTTTGTGCTTCCTCGGGGAAGGGAGAAGAGGAGGAGGAGGAGGAGGAGGAGGAGGAGGAGGAGGAAGAGGGAGCCTGCAGAAGGCGCTTGCACGTTCTCCCATCCCCATCCCCTCCTGCAGTTTTACAGGCTAATTACCAGCATTACTGGAGAAAGGAGCGGGAGGGGGGGAAAGTGGGGATTTTAATTATTTCATTTAACACTTGGCAGGACCCAGCTTGACTCCCGCTGAGCAGCACTTGGAAATAAAGAGCTTTTAAAGGCTCTCAATGGGAGACGAGAGGGAGCGGGTGCGGGGATTCGGGGGGCTGGGGTGGCCTGGCGTGTGTGCTGGGAGGGAAAGGGCTGTTAATTCACACCATTCCCAATAAACAGACATGCCAGGGAGTGCTGGATAAGGGCTATCTCTTCTCAAGAGGCGGGGGAGGTTTCACCGCTTAATAACTTTGTCCTGAAACAAACCCTTCCTGGAGCATGCAGCACCTCCCAGACTGTCCTCAGGGGTGCCTGGGGATGGAATGGGCCACATGTGCCTGCCCAGGGGCTACAGGTCACCCTTTCCCAGCACAGCAGGCCCTTCTCCAAGCTGGGGGGGAGCTGCACACCACACAGCCTGTGCTCAAGCTGCATTGCCACTGCCAGGCAGCCCCTCTGTTAGCAGGTGTGTCCCCCTCCCCATGAGCACCCCAAAAAAACCCACCCTTGACCTGGGTCTAGCTCAGATACTTGGAATCTGGTGCTAAAAATGCCAAGGTTGTGGGTTCAATCCCTGTATGGGCCATTAATGACCCCTGTGGGGTCCCTTCAGAGCGTCCTGTGATCCTCTCTCCCACCCGGCTCCTCACATGCAATGATGTCTCTGATGATTATGATGCCTCCCAGGAGAACCTCGGCCCTCCTGGTGCTGCCAGGGCTCTGGGAAAGGTCCCCCAGGCTGGAGAGGGCACAGTGCTGGGCAAAAAGGCCCCCGAGAGTGTCCCCTGAGCTCTCCTGGTGCTGCCCCTGCAGCCCCAGCCCCGCGGCTGCACAGACCGGGATGCCTCGGGCTGCAGCCCCGGCTCCTCCCGCAGGCTCACACTGCCATCTGCCGCCCTTCCCAACCCATTCCCGCCGCAAAGGAACGCCAGCCGAGAGGCAAGAAACTCCATTCGAAGAGAGCAGAGCGCTGGGGTATCCACAGCACCTCCATCAGCACAGGGATGGGCTGCCCAGGGCATCACTACTGGCACAGGGATGGGCTGCCCAGGGCATCCCCACTGACCCACAGGGAGGGATGATGAGGAAGGGGAAGCCTCTCCCTCGCTGGGGGACAAACAGACCCTTCAAACACTCCAAACACCCTGAACTTTTATCACCTTGTGACCACTGCGACAGCATCGACTCCTTCCACCAGAGAAAAAGAGCCTTGCCTGGCTACTGGAGGTGCTGGGAGTGACTGGTCCAAGCCTTGGGCCTCCCTGGGTGCTGCTGCTGAGCTGCAAGACATCCCTCCTGCCAACCCTCTCCCAAAAAACACACGCAGCAGTTGCTCTGCAAGCTGATGTCAGCCTGTCCATCTGCGAGGGGGCCGCGAGGATCAGCTGGCATGGCCAGAGTTCCTCAGGGATCTGGGAGCGTGGGGAGGTGGAAACAGGGGGGGGGAAAAACCAGTAGAAAAACAACGGTGAGATAAACCCCTGGCACATCTCTGGAGCAAACACCCAGCAGGCTAAAATTAGCCGTGGATCCCTGGCACTCTGGACACCTTCCCAGCGGGAAAGCAGCCAGAGAGCTTCCAGACAGTGAGGGACATCCTTCGGCAGTGGGGTGGGGAATGGCTCAGAGTGGGGAAAAAAGCAGCAGTGGATGGAGGGAGGGCCCTGCCAGCAACCACCTAGAGAGCCCTAAAATCACATCAACACAACGAACGCTCCTGCTGGATGGAGACACAGCCAGGGCAGCGGGCATTCATTCCCAGGAGCCCAGAGCCTTTTTCCTCCTGCCCACCAGCCCCGTGAGAGCCAAAGGCAGGTGGCACCCAGCTGTGGTACTGCCAGCACCCCGTCGGTGGGGGCTGCTGGCACCCAGGAGGGCAGCAGAACACCCTCCCACCGGGGAACAGGCAGGAGGAGTTCGTTCCTCCCTCTCAGGCCCACGGAAGCATCAGCCGGCAGGGGATGCTGTTGGCTTGGAGAGCTTCCATCTGCTCCTGCCGGGCTCCGGGGGCCAAGCCAGGAGCGTGGAAGCTTTATGTCCCCTCTGTTCCCTCTCCAGCCTCGCTGCAGGAGGGCACGTTTCCAGGAGAACCTACAGGTTATACAGAACGGAGGGGCACAACGGAGCAGGGAGGAAACGCAGCAGCAACAGCTTTAAATCGGCTCACCAGCCTCAGCTGGGGCACCCCTGGGGTTACTCCCTTCCCCTCGGCTCAAAAGGTTTGGCACAGCCAGCACAGTGCCCAGACCAAGGGTAGCTGAGCTGTCCCAGCTCCCAATTACCCCACATCACCCCAAAAAGCTGCTCATCCAACCGTGAATGTGGGGCAGCAGTGAACACAGAGGTCCTGAGGCGAGCTGAGGGGCCCAAGGGCGGGCAGAGGAGCAGCCCCAAAGTTAAAACCGGTGCAGGTTTTGCTACCTCTAAGACAAGGGTGGCAGCCTATCCATGGCAAACAGGGACCTGGCACCTGTGGCCACAGCAGGGTGGCTGCCCAGGGGTGCTGGAGAGGGGCAGGAGCACCGGGAGGCACCGCACTCGTCCCACCCTCCACGAAAGTTCATGCGTGCAGGGGGAGGGTGTGGGATGAACTGCCAGCCCCAAACACATGCCAAGAGCCTTCCTTCCACACCCTCTGTATCCACAGCCACCAAACAAAGGGAGCTGGCTGCTAGGATCCCGGGGATGCCGGGATTCCCAGCGCCGGGAATGCCAGGGGAGCGGCACTGGGAATGCCAGGGGAGCAGCACCGGGCCAGGCTGCAGCCACACACCCCACACACCCTCCTCCCTTTTGTGGGGTGCTTGCTCCACACCTGCAGCTTCACAGCTCAGCCAGGGTGAGGCCACACAGCCCCCTCTGCCCCTGGACCCGCTGGCTCTGCCCTCCTTCCTTCACCCCATCGGGGCAGCACACGCCACAAACCCCCACCCCAGGCCGGATCAGCCACCCAGCTCGCCCTTTTTAACCCCCAGGACGAGCTTGGGGTGCTCTCCCCACCCACCACCACCCTCCCCAGGACACTGGTGAAGGTGAGAGGCTGAGGATGGAGTCAGAGATGAGACAAGCACTAAGGTGGAGGTGTCCTTAGATCACAGTTTCACACCCACAGCACTCCAGGGGCTCTGATGCCAGAAGGGAGCTGCCAGAGGGACCAGAATGAGCCCCCTTGGCCAACTTCAGGCTGGGCCACCTGGAGGCAGAGGGGAAGGGAGCTCTTCAAACTGTGATCTAAAAGCAATAGCTCCCTTGGAGGGGAGCACAACACACCCCTGCAGCCGAGAGGCCACGTGGGGTGGGTGTGCTGTACCCACCTCCAGGAGATCCTTATTGCTCCAGCACATCCCGGGGTGGATGGGAGGATGACACGGACTAACCTGATGGTGGATGGAAAAAATGGTGATTTTTGGTTTGTTTTTTTTTTTTTTTAATTGCATGACACACCACCACTTACCAGCAAGAAGCTTCCTATGTTCTTTAGAAAGCAGGGGAGGAGAAAAAGGAGAGAACAAAACAGTTAGAAACAAGCAAGAAAACAGGCAGGTGACCCAAAGCTTTCCTCCTCCCCAAGCCCCCTCCGCCAGCGCTCTGCTACCAACTTTCCCCCTGGGGCACTTCCATCCTCCTCTTCCAGCCCTTTCCAGGCAGCATCAGGCACTAGCTCCCAAATCCCCCCAGGAGATCACGGCTGGGTTGCTGGCACCTTCATCCCGGGCAGGAATTCTTTATCCCTGGCCCAGCAATCTCACGTGGAAGACGCAGGAGAAAACCAACAGCTCCCAGGTAGGAGACACAGGGATGTTTTCCACACGTGGCAGGACACAAATTGTGCGCCTGGAGACCCACCCCAGTCCAGGTGTGGCTGTGAGGGACCAGGGGCAGAGGGATAGCATGACTGGCACTGCCATCTTCACTTGCGACACAGGAACACACTGAGTTTACCCAGTAAACCCCAATTCTTCCCCTGTTAACCCTCATTTCAGGAGCATCACTTGCCCCCCTCTGAGTTTATCCCCATCCCCACCTTCTAAGCCCATTTTAACAGCACAAGGGGCTCCCAAATCTCCAGAGGGCCAGAAAACATCGGGATTCCTGATGGTACTGGTGACATCCCACCCTGCAACAGCCCAAACCCTGCCCAAACGGAACCAGAACACCAAATGTGAGCAAAGCACAACACAAACCCCACCAGGAACACCTCAGCACTGACTGCTGGCTGTCAGCCACACAACACAAGCACGCTGGGTTTGATCCTCACGAGGATTGGATCCACCAGGAGCCAGCAAGGATGGCTCCAGGAGACCCTGGGGAATGTCCCAGCCTGGCCAAAGGCTCAGAACTTGCATTAACTGTTAAATTTCAGGGATTGTCGTGCCAGTAGATGTTTTCCTGAAACCAAACACATTGGGAAGAGCTGAGGAGCTGAGCCTGGAGCTCTCCACAGCTCCCCAAGGATCGGATGTTTCCCACTCAACCCTTTCCCACCACAGCTTGATCCCTCCTGTCCAAACGCATCACCTGGGTCTGGAGTCACTTTGGAAGCTGAGGAAACCAGAGCACCAGATGAAACAAGGTCCCCAGCAGATGAAACAAGGTCCCCAGCAGATGAAACAAGGCTCCCAACAGACGTGATGAAAGAGAAGGTTAAGGGTTAAGCAGCTGAGCATTTTAATAATCACTACTGAGCACAGATTATTTATCTGTGGGGCAGGAGGGAAGCCCTGTAACCATTATGGAATTCATTCTAGATGCCTATGGAAATAGGAGCTGTCACACAGCCAGGTCCTCATCCCACCAGGACATGGGGATCTCCCAGAGTGAAATCCAACTCTTAACCCCTCTCTTCTATTCATAGAATCACAGAATGGTTTGGGTTGGAAGGGACCTTAAAGTTCATCTCATTCCAACCCCCTGCCACGGGGCAGGGACATCTCCCACTAGCCCAGGTTGCTCCAAACCCTCTCCAACCTGGCCTTGGACACTTCCAGGGATGGGGCAGCCACAGCTTCTCTGGGTAACCTGTGCCAGGGCCTGCCCACCCTCCCAGGGAAGGACAGCAAACCTAAATTTCCCCTCTTCCAGTTAGAACCCCCTTCCTCCCTTGTCTTATCCCTACAGTTCCTGACAGAGGGTCCCTCCCTCTGCCCAGACTGCTCTGCCTGCTCACAGCACCACACCACAGCTACAAACAGGTGGAATTCGGAGCATGTGGTGCTCCCCAGGCTACTCAGAGAGGGCAGACCCAGCCCCCGGGGCTGGACAGGGTGGGGACACAAGGTGGGTGACTTCCCAGGGAAAGGGAGAGTGCTGGGACACCCAGCAGAGGAAAGAGAGGAGGAGGAAGGCAGGGATGGGACACCCAGCAGAGGAAACACGGGATGAGGAAGGCAAGGGTGCAGCAGGAACACCCAACGCCCCACTGAGGGGTGCAGAGCCCCCCCCCACACCCCACCCCGGCGCTCTGCGTGTCACGTTAGCAGCAGCTCCACAATGAGCCGTGGGCTGTGGGTAATGTGACACTGTGAAGAGCCCTGACAGCTCGCTGGGGACCGTGAGGGGAGAAAACAAAGTGAGCATTGAGGGCTGGGGACGGCCCCGTGCCAAGGAAGTGACGTGCTTGCCTCCTCCACTGGCCACCCGGAGCCCTGTCTGCTGGAACCTGTTGGGAGATGAAGGGAAAGAAAGGAAGAGAGGGAGGAGAGGGGGGGGAAAAACCAGATTAAAAATATCCCAGAGCAGCACTGTTATTTTGGGATTTTTTTTTTTTTTGTTTCATTTATAAAAAGAGGAAGAAAAACAGAAAGGAAAGCCAAGACCCCATGACCAATCCCGGTGCAGATGAAATGTTTGTGTCTGGCTGCGCTCCCTCCCTTCTCTCCCTTTGCTCTGAGGCCTCTAAATTAAAATTATGTGCGTGGTGCTACCTCCATCACATCCTCCTGTCACCTGGCAGAGGAGGTGGTGCTTCTGGACACCCCCAGTAGGTCCCACTGGGGTGTGGAGACCCCTCGGGGTCAGCCAGGGCTTTGTGCTGGGTGATGAAGTGCCTGCTCACAGCAACTGGAGCTTTCCCAAGCAGGATCCAAGCCCCGATGTTCCAGGAACAGCAGCTGCTTTTCAGAATCAGGGGAAAACCAGGAGCAGCCAGACTCAGACGGCGACAAAGAGAAGATGAAGTTGCCTGGCCAGGCCCCCCCACAGAGCTGGCAGCTCCTGGGAGTGGGAATTGCAGCTCTGTAGCCCTGGGATTGTTGCTCCAGGGCCAAATCCCACCCGGCTGCCTGGGGCAGAGCACAGGGAGGAGCACGTGGGATGAGGGGTAGGTGGGGAGAAAATGGTCAGTGTGCCCCCTGTGAGTGCTGCTGGCCCCAGTTTGGGGGTGAGGAACAGGATCCCAGGAGGGTGAAGGGCCTTGGGATGCACCCACAAGCCAGGCTGGACACTTGACCCCGAGGAGCCCCAAGCCAAGAGTGACTCACAGAGACTCCAGACTGCTCCTGTGGCTCAGCAACATCCACCCACACATCTCCAGCTGGATGGACATCCCAGCCCCTTCCCACACCAGCTCCTTCCACCCCACAGCTCCTTCTTCCTAAGGCCCAGGAGATCCCACCATTCCAGCAGGGTGCACATGTTCTCTCTCTCATTTTTTGGAACAAAAGGGCAATTGAGCTGAGCAGCCCCTGGGCCTGACCCGCCTTTCAACTCCAGCAAATTTCCCTGGGCTTTGATTTCCCCCTCAGTGAAGCAGCTGTGAACATCAAGAAGGGGGAAAGAAGTTTATTTTGCTACGTATTAAATAAAACCAAACCCGAAAGGAGAGCAGGGGGAAAGTTTTCCTGGACAGAAACACACTTGGAGTGAGGGAATAAGCCTGAGCTGTGCAGAGATGTGATGCAGAGCAGGAGGCTGGTGCTGGTGCCCTGCCTGGGGATGCCAGCCAGGAACAAAGCAACCCTTCCCTTCCCTTCTGAGGCACCCAGGACGTGCCTTTGGACTTACTCCTTCCCTGTGTCGGGAAAAGTGGCACTTTCTGGGAAACCACATGTGACTTGGACGAGTCACCCCACACACACACAGCTGCTGCTGCTGCTGTTTGCCATCTCCTGACTAACAGCTCTGATCCTGAGTCACTCACCCACTGCATCCCAGACCACCTCCCTGCCACCACACGGCTCAGAGCTCAGCAAGGCCAGTTGTGCTCCGGAAAAAAAACCCAGCCTGGGGATCCCAAACCGGAGAAGAAGGTCTGGAAGGAGGCTTTGCAGAAGGACAACTGATAATGGAACAGGGGGGTGAACCCCAGGGCAGGGGGTTCCTCTGCAAGGCTTCCCTCAAAGGGGGAAGGATGGATATCGCTCAGCTGCACCCCTCCCTCAGGTGACAGTGCTCCCAAAGGAGCACGTGGAGCCACAAGAGGGATCCCTGATGGATCCCAGGAGCCCAGCAGCACAATGCTGCCTTTGCCCTCCCACCAACATCCCTGCTAAGCCTGCCAGGGAGCCCAGGTTGGGCTGCCTCATTCCCAAGGAAACAAGCCAAAGGGTTCCCACGCCACCTTCCCGCTGCTCGGTGCACAAAAGCGACACAGACTTCCTGAAATCCCCCTCTCTGTGACCCTCCCTACTGTTTCTCTGCATCCTGCTCCAAGGCCATGTTCTGCTCCGAGATAACAAGGCACTTGCTGCCAAAACCAGCAGCCAGAGGGGCCCAGGATCCTTGTGGATCTGGCATTCCAAGAGAACAGACAGAAAGTGGGGATGGAGCCCCGGGGGGGTTTAGCTAATCCACCCGAGGCCAGAGTGGGATTTTGGGAAGAGCTCAGGGCCACTCCAGCATCTCCTTCCCAGCCACAGCAGGCAGGCAGTGCCAGGAGGGAGCAGGAATGGGATGCTCTGCTGCATCCCCTGTATCCAGCAAAGGAGAAAAAGGGCTGGAAAAAGGTCAGGATAGCCAGAAACAGCTTCCATCTATTTAATACCAAATCCCTCCACAGATGAAACCCCGGGATTTCTCCCTGTCCTTTGCAAGCTGGCAATTAATTCAGGAATCTTTCTTAAGTCTGGGGCATCCAGCCGTCCCCCTGCTCTTGTAAATTATACACTAATTAACCACATTACAGTCGCTCTCAAAAACAAATCAATCAATTGGCAGCCCATCAGCATCCAACAACTGCTGCAATCCAGCCTCCCTGGTGAGCTGCAATTTTTGGGTGTCCTTTTAGGTTTGGAAAACGAGATGGGAGCCAGGAGCATCCCCACTGCCACGCAGGGAAGGAGGGGGTGCTGCTGGAGAGAGAGGAGGAGGAGGAGGAGGAGGAGGCAGGGGATTTCCCCACCTTCCTCCCCTTCCCGAGCTCTGAAGAGCAGTCCCCCCAAAAAAAAACCGGCAGCCAGAATTGAAACCAGATGTGTAGGAAGTGTCTCATTAGCAGTAATTGCTTTGCGAGGATTTGAGGTTTTCCCCTCTCTGCCG